AACAGAGTATAAAAAGGGAGGGGATGCTATAGAAAGTTGCCTGGGGAAATCATTCGAATACTACAGAGCCTTAAGGGGGGAATCAGGTAAATTTCATTGTGACACAACCAAAATCCTCCGACCCCTCTCGGCGATAATAGTTCTCAGTCCCTTTGTCGATTGTCCACAAGAGCCTTTCAAGCTCGGAGGGTGCGTTGAATATTTCTGTTTGGTACATTTCGCTGTCCACCTTAGGAAAACAAAGGCAACAAACAGTGCTCAAAATCTGTCGATTTCTTGAGAACGCGAGGAGCGCAAACGATATCATCACATCGAAAGTTGGCTGAAATGCTCCAATGAAATAACTATCAAGAAAATGAGTTGCTCGTCAGACTATCCACAGTCTCATTTTCAGACGATCTTGTGCAGGGAACAGAGTCTATTGAAGGTCTTCTGTGTCTTTCGTGGGGAAGAGGTTGCCGCATATTGGCAAGCTTTTGAGTTTGCAGTTTCACACAGTCCAAAATTTCTCGCCCTCGTTGGGTCAGGAATTGAAAATGTCCCTCGCCTGTTTTACAGCCCCTAAAAATAGATCACAAGAAAAGCTAGTCAATCTGTTGAATAAGATAACTGTGAGAGGCGCTCTTATAGATCAAGTTACCGGTATACTTTTCTAGTAGCAGGTTAAGGTATTCGGTCATTTTCCCCAAGAGACGGGCTGCCCTTTGATATGGATTGATTTGCCCACAGTCGATTTAGTTACGGATTTCGCACTTTGCTGTGTGTCCTATTAAATGCAATCTCAAATCTCGCGCAGGACGTGGATTACAACAGCATGCGAGCAGGCGCCGTAGGATTTACATTTCTTCGCCTGCGAGAAGATTCGAGAAGGGTTGGGGGGGTTTTTCGGGGGGTCTAACATTCTCAGTGCCAGACCCCTTGCAGATTTATTCAAGGCCTCGTACTTTCCCGCGGACGTAGAAAAGCTGGTGCCCCCGTCGAAGCGCTGTTAATGAGGGCTATAAGAAACTGTACACAAGTCGAATGAAGACCAAAGGCAGAGCTAGATCGCGATGGGAAATGACTTGATTTGTGGATTTCATCAACTGGATTCGTTCTTTGAAAAACAAACATACAAACAAACAAAAAAAGCACCGACGGGAGTCTCATTTAATAATGTTATTTGATAAAATAATTAACAATTATTCACCGAAGTGGGGTAAATATCCACCACTTTCACCGATACTGAGGTGAACAATTGTTTTAGTATTTACTACACAAGAAACCAAAAAATTAGTTTATTTCTGATATTATGCCAATAAATGGTAGGAAATTAAACTCTTGACACGCGGTTTGTTTCTTCCACTGCTTTGAGGTGGATAATGCTTGCTTATCACGTCCGAACTAGCCAATCAGCTCTCGCGAAAAGAATTATTCACCTAAGTGGCATATACTAATGAAGGGTAATATAGGATTATCAACTGAATTGATAACGGAAATTAGCTATCGAAAAGAGTTTAAAAGCTGACGTTTCGAGGGTTAGCCCTTTGTCCCTCCAACGCTCTGACTAAGGACTAATGGTCGAAACGTCTGCTTTAAACTCTTTACGGTGGCCAATTTACGCTATCAACTCAGTTGATAATACTAAATTAACCTATTATACTCTCCCACCGACGCAGCACCACAGTTTCTTTAGAAACTTACCCCCTCTATCCTAATGAAGGTTAACCAGCCAAAGAGGTAGGCAAGTGAACTAACTTCGAACGAGGGCATATTGACCAGGAATGACGAGGCAGTAAAAATTTGAGTAACCGACATAGCAAGTGTAAAAGATAACATCAGAACTTTGTCTTGACTGTGCTCATGAGAGCCAGCGAGCAAGTTCTCGTTTATACCGCTGCGGCATGAGTTGTGAGGCTTCTGGGTTTCGAGCCAGTAAACGAAACGCAAGCTAGAGCCCGCGAGCAGGCTAATATTTTCCAGTGTGTAATCAATCCTTTGCTAGTGCACGTATATAAGACAAAAGCAGGGCTCATTCTACATCTTAAAATCAAAACACTTCAATAAATATGGAACAGAAGTTCATGAAGGAAAACAAAACGGAGCCGCGAATCAGATTTCAAAAAGCCGACATATCGAGCGCTAGTTTTTTGTCGGAGCACTCTGATGCGACCAAAAATTAGCGCTTGACTTCTAGTTTAACGTCAACCAAGTGCTAGCTAATTATAAACTTGCCCGCTGACGCAGCAGAAAAGTTTCTCAACAAACCAATGACTTTATTTTCTTACCTTCCCGCTTGAAATGTTAAAACTTTGTCTAAATCTTGAAGATGTGATAGTCTTTGCAGTCGAAATCGTGGAAGATGATCTAGTTCCCATTCTAAAACTCTTTCTCCTGTTTTTGCGCTATGAAGGCATAAGTATTCCTTACGAACTGTCATAAGATAGTTTCCTGTAAGTTCAAGTCTATCAGAATCCTCTGTAGGAATTACATTTACTTCATGAAGCCCTGAAAAGAAAGGGTAATTATTTCAATAAATTTTCAGTTAGATCCTGAAAATGTCTCTTAATCACATAAAGATTAAGGTCAGTCAAGTGTCTGTGAACAAATAATTCTTGGCTTGTGTCAAGCAGCGTTTCCTCTCGACCAAGGTACTCCTCAGATATGTTAAAAAATTGGCAAACAAACCCTTTGAAAATAGCAATACTCAACTTATGTGTAACAAATTCTAGTAAATGTATCTCTAAGTTTGGTATCTGACATATCTCTTGGCCGAGTGGTACCAGCCACAAACTCTCAACTCTTTTGATATGTCGTCACAACACACGAGTATATTTGAAGGGGGTTCTGGCTCGCAGACTTAATCTACGGTTTCAAATACGATATCAACACAAAGAATTCAGACAATAATCACTTGAAGAAAGGTCTTGAATGTCAAAGGGTTACTATTTGTGTGCATTCCATTTTGTCAGCATTGATGTCTTAAATGCGATAATCGTTCACCTCAGAAGGGCAAATATAAGTACCCATACAAATTTGTACTGAAGCCAGACAGTAATTGTCTCTTTAGAGCACCGGTAAAAGGGGGAATTAAGGATGGATAACCAAACTAACAGGGTTCTCATGTAACCGAAAAAAAAAAGGAAAAAAAAAGCAGCTTGAGCTGTCAAAATTCAGACAGAAAATTCTGTGTAGTAATTGAATTCTCTGATCTTCAATACTCACTGAATATTCTGAATTGCGTTATGGTAAATACTCTAATAAACTTTCTGATGAGACAGGGGTCTTGTTTAAAATTTAATAATGACAGCAAAATTGCCAAGGCAACCTCTCATTTCCTCAAACTGTTGATTGGCTTTAATAAGCTGCATATGCAGTAGGTTAGGCAATCTACAAAACCTTGAATGAAAACTGACTAATATTTTCAAATAAAAGAAAACATTAAGAGTGGAATCCTACAGTACAATCCCCGAATGTACATATATAGCAGTTTTTAGCAAACTTTTTTTAATGCAAGGAAGAGGGATGAGAAAGATGGAATACTTGCTAGACAGAAGGGCTTTTTAAGAATCTGAAGCTACAAGCAGGTTTATTTAGGATGGGAGTTATAGAGAAGGACATCGGCTTATTAGAGCATTAATAATGTATTCATGTGCATTCATGAACAAATCTGACAGAAACAGGTCATACAGTGATTTCAAACTCCAGAATCTTCCCACATGGAGCCAGTCCTGCATCCTCCCATTACCCCTCTTTAGTAGGAGAATTTTAAGTTACATCTAAAACCGAATCCGGTAAATTTTTTCCAGTATTATTCATTTCAAATTGCATCAAAAAAATAATGATAATGCTCCCATCCCTCTTTTGAAAGTACCAACACACCAGTTTTCAATTATTCCTACTACTGTGAGCATTTTCTTCTGAAATTACAAATACTTCTATATGGAAAATGCCAAATTCTTTAAACAGATACTAAAAGATAAAAAATGGCCTGACAAAACTTCATGTCAGTAAGAGGGTCAACTTATAAGAGACTCCTTTGCCACGATTTCTCCATTCCCAGGGGCTTAGATCAAGTGGGTATGGTTGTATTGTAATCGACAAACAAGCCCAGATAAGGGAATCAGTCTGGTGGCTCATGCAATAATTCTTGATGTCCCTCCACAACATGCTTTTTGTCAAGCCAGTTGATTAGAACATCCATGAGATAGCCAAGCTGAAACAAGAGCCTTCAGGCATCCTTTGCCTCCTTCAAGTCACACAAAAGCAAGGTTAAATAGTATTAACACTCACCATAAATGTCACCAGCTTGAACAGAGGGGTACAGCTTTGGTTCTGGGAGTACAAGTTCTTTAATAAGCTGAATCCACTCAAGTGACTCTTTTTCAGTATCCGCACTCAGAAAAAGTTTGATTTCCATACCCACGAGTAAAAAACTGTGATTATGTGTCCTTGAATGAGCATGCGAGACAGATGTTAAATCTTCCAGTGAAATACTTGTACGATGTCTACCCTCAGAGCATGCTTTCTCTGTTAGATAATACTCTAAACGAGGTTGTCCCCGTGGAGATTTCCTTCGCAGAACAAACCATTTTCTTTTCCAAATCTAAACAAAGATGAAATACATCAAATTTTACAGATCATCTCATTTTTCCAAGACTTACCATTTTCTTGTTATCCAGCTTTCAAATACCAAAAATAAACATGAGGGCATGAAATATCTAATATCTAACAACAATATTTACCCATATAGAGGTAGATAATTGTCTTAGTACAACACAAACTGGTTAATATTATACCAAAAGAAAATTTTGTCAAATCTCAAGATTTTTAAAATCTTACCTCCACCAAAAAGCTCATCGGTGCTTATAAAGAAGAAAGATCCATTGCACTTCTTGAAAGCAGAAAAAAACTTTCCGGAGCACTTAAAAGTTGCTCTTATGTCACTTCTTTAATATATATATATCACCTTTTCAAAACAATGTGATCTCAAAGAATTTAAAATAAGTTGACCTCACTTTAATGTATTAGCCAAAGAATAATAGAGAGCTTTAACAAGATAAGAATCCAAAACACTGCCCAAGATCTAGCTTAACAAATTGGAGCAGAAAATCATAAATTGCTGGCAAAGACATTTCTGTTGCAAGGGTTTGAGATATGAAAGATAAAGGAAATCTACTTTTTCTCATTCCTCTTATATCTCATACAGATGTTTGAAATGTGCAAAAAGCAAGGTGCGTGACCTGACTTGGCAAAAGAGAATTAAAAAAAAAAGAGTGAGTAGATAAGAAAGAATTATCCTCCGTGAAGACATCCAAAGGAGATGGATGACTGCAGAACTGCATTTAGCGAGCCACGTGTATGTAATTGCACACCTTGAAAAACTTAGACCACTTTTTTAAATTTTAGTTTTTGTGTCCCGAGGGGTCTCTGCTATATTAACCTCTTCAATTTTTTTCTATACTGCTGCACTTTTGATTTGAGATTTTAACATATCTCTATGCAGTTGCTGAGAATGTTTTTGATCTGCGATATCCAGACAGTAAACCTTAAAATGATGCAAATGTTTGTATCATACCCATTTCTCAAGATTTTACTGGTTGCTTATCCTAAAACACTGTTCTTAGGTTATCATGCTTGTGTTCAAAATCAAGATGTTAATAAATTCTAAAATGTTTTGAACAACAAAAAAGAAAGAAATGACACAGGATCGACTGGTTAGTTGGCTTAGGTCTGCACGACACAGGATCGACTGGTTAGTTGGCTTAGGTCTGCACGACACAGGATCGACTGGTTAGTTGGTTTAGGTTTGCATGACTCAGGATCGACTGGTTAGTTGGCTTAGGTCTGCACAACTCAGGATCGACTGGCTAGTTGGCTTAGGTCTGCACTACAATTCCTTAGGTTTAAACTTCAAACTCTGGCTTCCAGCTGCTAATTTACAGCGACTTCTGGAGATGAAGCCTTAGACCACACATACTCTCAGACTGATGAAGGCAAGTTAGCTGTAAGACAACATGGGAGTAGATACAGATAGAAAGAAAAGAGAAAAATACCACACCGTAACTAATGGCGCTGGTAGGTGGGAACCAATTTTATAAAACCCCTTAGGGCCATGTGAAGACGAAAGATCCATAAATTCTTTTTACAAACTAATTAGTTTCCCCAATAATAATTGTTTTGCTGTTTTTTCCATATTGTTAATCTGTGAGCCTGATTAGTTCCATTGAGAGTCAAATTTACACCAATCAAATATCTTGGGATATCAGACAATCCAACCAGCTTGAACTACAGATGTCAGACTGGTCTCATACAAAGCAATAATCATGTGCATGCATGGCAGCTCGCCAACCTTGTAATAGCTGCCAGCTGTAGGATGAAAAACATTAAAATAACACCTGCCGATAACCTGTCCACAGTAAACAACAACTTGACTGAACTACCAATGGGAGAGATACAATTTTCAACCAAAGATGTAGTTGTTCCTCTGCACCTTTAATTCAATTAATTATGTCAATTTAAGGTTGAAGCACAAATTTTTTTTTTACTTTTTTTTTGCGGCTGACTTCTGGTGCATTCCTTGTGAATTTCTATGCGAAGAATTTTGAACCTCTTCCAAGTTGACATTTCCAAGTTTATAAGCATCTAAGTCTTGTCAGCCCTCCGTGTGTGACAATGTAAATATGTCAAGAGGACATATTGGTTGTCATTATTTTCAACCTTAAAAAACAAGAATTAAAATCTGGAAGCTTTTGACTGATCAACGACTCTTCTTCTAAAGGATAAAGTCTTGCTTGAAAGAACAAGGCATGCGGCGTTAAATGATACCAAGTTATTGCCATCACATAACATGCTTTCTATAAATATTGCATTTAGTGTTGTTCTGTTTGTTCAAAGTTGTTTTGTTGCCCCCCACCAATTAAAGGATATTACACATGTAATACAATTTCACTTCTGCGCAAATTTCAGACATTAAAAACCGACCAGGAGAGCCATGGTTGTTTACAATGATGTGCAATTACCAAATACTTTTTTCACTATTTCATGTTTTTCGCACTTCTTTGAGACAAAAAAAACGATAGAGCTGACGGTAAATAACAAATGAGGCACTTGAATCCCGTTTCTTGAATTTTATCACAATACAAAAGATATGTTTCCGCTGCAATGCAAGCTTCAATTTACTTCGTGTGCGTAAGATTCAAGCAGAGGTGCTTCTTGTACGTAATACAGGGATTACTCCAGAAGGCCAATATGCGTTAAGTGTACTCTACTTTTTCGGTGTTTACGCGTTCCATGGGTAATTCGCCCTTAGCTATTGTTCAAAATCACATGCATATTTCATCTCCAACGATAATGTCAGTTGCAGGTTTTCTCGACACAATAAGAAAAACAACTTTAATAGCAAACGGCTAGCCGTTGTAATAGCATTAGTCTGCTCCATCTTTAAAGACATAACGTTTCTTTTCCTTGCCAAGAATGTTTTTGATATCGTTCCACGTTGAGGCCGGCGACCTGTGACAGCTTAGATGGATAATTTTATCTGTTGACACTTGTGTACAAAGACGGGCCAAAACTCATCGCTTTTGAAACGGCGGAAGGAAGAAAACGAATCCATGTGCCACAAACGTGAAAAAACTAAGGGGGTTTGAGTGATTGTTCTTTACGACAGCAGACACATCGTTAACGCATCAATTTCATAGCTATTTCATTTGATTTTTAATTCATGCGCGAAATGAAATTGATAATTTTGCTGTCAAAAAATTCTCAAGAAACCTCTTTTTGTTCGCACAAATTTCAAATCGTTTCATTTTCGAGCTTAGACAAAAGTACACTTAACCAATCAAACGAAAAACTAGCACTATTAGGTTTCAAATGGCGATGAATTTACAATACTTTTCCTAGCAGCTGAACAACTTGTTTACTAAAGTAAGGTTTCGAATGAGGGTTTGAAAATGTCGCCGAATTTGGCAATTCCTGCTCCCGCTTAATGACAAGTATTCATCTGTGTGTTCTGGTTATTAACCTGAAATAGTATTCAATCAGATGTGGCGAAGAAAACAGAATATATCTCACACAAATCAGAGTAAACACTACTATTAGTTATGCAGTCATTATTCACCCCATACGTGCACAGAATATATTAAAATACTCGTTTGACTTCTTGTTAAAAAGCTCAGTTAGCAGATACTTTAAGGAGAATAAGAAATCACAATCAAAGTCAGACTTGCCTTGTGTGTGAGCTTTCTCTGTTTCCGCGGAAGCTTCATTTCAAGAAACCCGCACTTTACCAAATCCTCGACGTAACTTGCCATGGTCACTTTCATCTTCCAAAATATTTCACACACGCGTCCAAGAAAACGAAAAAAAGTAACACAAATAATCTCAGCGATTCAGTCCGCTTGAGTCAGGATATATGGAGCTGTTAGAGAAACATCGCTTTCCACGCTGTACCGGTCGAAACCTTTTGAAAATTACACTAGTTGTTTGTCATCGATTCGCGCTATTGTTTTTCAACCTCGCAGGCTATTTGTCGTGTTGTGAGGGCAGTGAAGACGCTCGTTCCAGTGCTTCGGCGCGCCAACAGATAGCAACAAGCCGTCACGCTGAATCATTCAGGAAAAATTTCAGCACGTTTGCAATAATTAATAAAAAAAACAACAATATCTACTACGATTGATATTCTTTGTTCGACAGACAGAATATCACACTGTCTGACTGCCGAAATTTTCAATCGAAAATCACGCGATGAACCGTGTGCTACAGGGTTTTTACATCATCAGTGTAATATATTTAATGTGGTAGAGCACGATCAAGCGCGTTTGAACAACTCAAAAGTGCATGGTAAAAGCCTATTTTAATATCTCCGGTTTCTATTTTCATGCTCTCGTGTTTCAACTATGTAACTTTAACATTTGCCCGAGGCGTAAGGTAACCACTCCCATATAATTGCTGTTCTTTGCAAAACAAGTAAGTTTCTAATCGAAAACAATTGTATTGTTTGTACTGCAAGATAGTAAACTTTCCGCGGTGAATGCTGCTGATCTCAACATCTTACTCCTGCAGAACTGCTTGCGTACACCGACAGACTTTCTTCAGGTTTTTGTTCAGTGTGGTTCTAATTTACGAGATCGACCAAAGTCCGCGGAATATATCAACAAATCTGTCCGCACGCTAGCAAGTTTGTTTTTAAAGCATAATACTATAAAATTGTGCAGTTCGAGCTTTCTCTAACTTTCAGTTGCATTTGTTTGGCTCAGGCTTTTAGTAACGGAGTTTTAGAGAAAGCCAATGAAATTCGCTGAAGCAAGCGAAGGCTTAATCTTTAGTTTGCGTGTGACGATAAAAGGACGTTGCGGAAGTGACATCTACAAAAACATGTGGCCTTAAAAACAACTTGACTTCGTTCAAAACAAAGTACTTGAGGTTTAAATTATTTTGTTCTCGACTGGGAAATAATTTCACGGGCTGTTGAGGAAAACAGGGCTTCATGGGTATTAAACTTTCCGCGTTATCACTTCGCTGAAAGCCGCGTCTTCAACAATTATTCGTCGCGAAAAAGTGAAGTAAAATTAACAATTGGCCAATAAATGCGAAATTTATGAAGTCCTACGAGAAACAACAAGTCTAGGAAATCAGCTCATCTTTAATTCATAACATGTCCAGATGGATCCATGTAATAGCTTTGTTTTCGGGGGAATTGAGTGTTTTGAAATATAGTTTCTGCTAAGGGCATGACTCAGCTTTAGGCCAATGATGCGTCACGAGACGAAGAAATATTATTGCGCTATTTTTAACGTATATAATATGAAGCAAGTGTGATATAACTCGAGTTCATAAGTGAAAACGCATGATATTGAAAGGAAATAGCCGCAATGTTAACCTTTGACCATAAAAAGGCATCAACGTCGTGGTGATATTGTAAAATAAAATTGTTTGATGCTGATACTGCACACACAAACATTAATTGAATATACTACACGGCAAAATTCCGGAATTTAAACGCTGAAAAACACTTCCTGTAAGGCTAGAGCGCTCTTGAATTGTACTTTCCTTCGTTTGAATCCATATTTGTTGCTATATATGGACAAAACCCTTCACATAAGCAACTTTTCTGGAAAGGGATCGAAGGAAAGATCTTTCAGAAAGATCTACCAATCACTTCGGCGCCGTCGGGGCGTAACGCTAGGCCAAGATTTGTGACTGTTTGCTTTCTTTAAATTTTTTGTTTCCCAAAAATTTTTTCCTCCGACTCTAATTTAAGATAACTTGTTTTTGGCCCGTGTACGATTCATGGTAACCGATTGAGTTCAAAGACCGCCCTTAGATGAGGCCCGGGCTAAGATTTTTGGGTGTATAGCTGGTAATCTGTCAACAAGTCACGTGAAATAAGTGTGAACCATAACCAGAGTTTACAAAAATTTGCCCATTTTTTTGCGCAGAAACAAAATTTCGCCAAATTTCAAAGGAGCCGAGATCTTGCCTCGGAGGCTTCCAAATTTTGGCAAATCAAGCAATCATGCTGTTCTATCCATTCAACTTTAGAGAGCATATCGGGAAACTGTCAGTGAAACGCGGAAGCTACCCACAGAAAAGCCCACTAATAGTGCACCCACGATACTGAGAACGCTGTTGTTTTTTTAAGGCCAAGAAACTATAATCTTTGCTAACAAGGCTACTGAAGTAAACTTTCACAACAGCCGAAAGCGACATAAATACGATTTATTCTTGCCTAATTTTTACCTCGAAAAATGTTTTAGCTCCTCCAAAGCGTTTACTTTGAGATTGACATATCTGCCCATACCAGCAAATTTTGGTTAAAAGCTACAGATCTCGTGCGTCCACCTTCGAAAATTTAATATTCTGCAATTTTTTTCCTCGCAAAAATTAAAAATATTTGAATTCGTTCCAATGCAGCCTAGCCCTTGCTTCAGCCTTTTTTTTTTTTGATAACAGAAAACTGCCACATGCAGTCAGTTACACCACTTAAATGGCCAAGTGAAGGTAACGTCGCATTATTTCCTCTTGATCACACAGGAACCTTCACAAAATTACAGGCCGACGATTGACTAAGCGACGAGTAAGGCCTGGACCACACTAATCCTCTTCTTGAGAATCCGTCTGAGTTTCAACCAACAAAAAGAAGCAATTTTTTTTTAACCACGGTCAAGTTTATTGTTTTGCTCTTAAATGTCCACAGTAGCGCGTTTTTGAAAACGCGCATGTTTTAATACGTCAGTTTTCGCCTATCGTTCAACGAAACCCCAGATGATGTTGATAGGAAGCGAAAAATCATCTTTTTAAAAAGCCACCGCTTTTATTATTTGTCCACACTAGAAACGAAGCATTTTAAAAACGATTAATTTTATTGAAAGAACTCAACTTTTGAAACCTTTCTCCGAAGTCTCCTTTTTAATCAGATTTGTCGGGTGTTTTAGTCAAAATGACTGGCAAAAACACAACCGAAAAGTGACACTTTGTTGCAGTGTCTGTCATATCTCTTTCATTTCCATAACAATATATGTGGGAACAATCTAGCAAACACGCATTTTGCTAAAGCAGAAGACATTTCAATTCACTTTTCTGCGATCTTTAAGATAAAAAAACGAGGCATTAATCCTAGGTTTTAAAGCTGTGCAGCAAAAAATTTTTACAACGTCCAGTTACGACCTTTAGATACCTAAACATCAACAGCCTAGCCTTGTTCCATACAAAACGAAATGTTTGAAAATAAACTAGGATACAAGCCCAACGAAAAAGATAACGTTGCTGCTGGCTGATTTTTATTAGCTGGCAAATGCTAAATGCAGTAAGATTTATCTCCTTTTTCTTGCAATTTTTACGACAAAAATGTTAGTATTATTGTACCTTTCCGTCAAACGAGGTAATTTAACTATATTGGGGAAGATTACTCTAAATGAAAGAATGAATAAATATATTGTGGCAATCGTTTGGCTGTTACACTCAAGCCAAATCGATGGTATTTTGCGAATTGAATAATTTGCAACTTTGCCAGGCAAAAATGGTTTAGTCTATCTTAGTCACCGTAATGGACAAGATGGATATTTACGATCACCCATATAACAATTTTTTGCGATAACGCGCTCTACTTAAAGGGAGCACAATTTAAGAGACTCTCCAACCGCCGAAGAATTGAAAATAAACATATGGATAGAAGCTACTGACAGTTTGTAATAATACAGTTCTTTCATCGAGGACGTTCATAAAGCTTAAATGATTAGTATATCAATAAAGCTGAAATTAATTTTTCCCTACGCCTACATGGACAAAAACAAAACTGTAGGGCCCTTAAATTGAAGGAGCAAAAAAGAACGAAATGAAGTAGAGTAAAAAGCGACACAAAATTATTCATGGTTAGAAAGAAAATTTTGGTTTGTTCCGTGAAACATTTTCCAATTTCGCTTTTTAATCGCTTGGTATCTTTCTTTATACGGACTCACATGTCTTCCTGAACACCTGCCCAACGTGGGCGAGACCTGAGGGGAAGTATCTAAAAAATAAGTATTTACTGAGCGCCCACGAAACCATGAAGTATGCCAATAAAATATGGCAATTTGAAAAATTAAAAAGCGCATGCAAAAATACATCACACCAACTTCCGAAACCACCCCGTGCATTTCAGTCCCCCTACTAACCAATTTAAAGTTCGTAAGTACGCGTGAACATGCGAAACTTTTATCCAAAAAAACGTATGGCACGTATCTCTCAAATTTGAGTTTAACAACTGCAGCCTTATGAACATAAAAACATACGAAACTAAATGACATTTTTACACCACGGATTTACGATCCAACTATTTCTAGGCTCATGAGAAAAAAGCAGAATTGTCCCCTTTTCAACGCAGCGAAGCTTTTGGTTTCGCAAATACTTAGAAAAAAGGCGCAAAAATGGCGACATAGAATTGCACGAGCGAGAAGTTGTTCTTGACGCCTCATGCCCGTAATTAATTTCTCACCATTTTACGGTATATTGAAAGAAATAAACTAAGTTTTTGGTATCAGCGTGGTTTACACTAAAAAATTTATTCACCAAAGTGTCGGTAAAAGTGGTGGATATTTATCTCCACTTTGGTGAGTAATTTGTAAATATGGTTTGCTTTGAAGTTAAGCGTAGAGGTATTAAAAAGAACTAAATTTCACGACGCTTGGCCTAGCTCCACTCTTATATCGGGTTCTTCGTTTAAATCAGCTGCAGCGTCCTTAAAAATTTCTACAGTTGGTTTATCAAAGTTTGTAAGACGCACGAGATTAACAGAGCTCTTGGGCTCAGCGCGGAAGAATTCCAACACAGCCGAGAACAGAATCTTCGCGCATCGTGCCTTAGGAAATCCAAAAATACCGCTACTAATGGCGGGGACAGCTACACTGCTCAGAAGCCTTGAATGACACTCGGACAAAGAGTTGTACATGGCTGAGTGGAGACTGCTGTCTTCATCTTTTTGCCCTCCCATCCAAACCGGACCTAAAAATAAGAAAAAAATGATAACAGTATCAATCAAGAATGATAAAGAAGTATAAAAACACTTATAACATTTGATAACAATGATGATGATAATAATCCAGCGGTTGAAAAAAAAAAATTGCGCAGACCTGTCAAGTACGTCACGTCACAGTCTCAGCCGTCGACTTGGGGATATGAGCAAAAGAAGCGCAGAAGGTTAGCAAGTATCAGGACCTTGTAGGAGAACTTAACAATAAAGAAAACTGGAATGAGGGTTCTCCCAGTGGTAATGGAGACCCAAGGATCTGTAACTGACAGTAACTTAAAAAGTCATTTTCGTTTAGATTGAACGCAAGGTCTAAAGCAAGTTTTAAGAATGTAATAATTTTTCCAGTGAGTTTCCTGTTGTCATATTTTGATTACACAGTGTTCTTTGAACACAAAAATTCATTTTAAGCAGATTTAAATTTACGATTTGCAATCAGTACAGTTTAAACCTATTTTATAGTGTAAAATCGAACCCAAACAGTTTCAAAGCAGGTGTCTTTAAGTTTAAGGGAAATTAAGGGGAATTTCTTTCACACCTTTCTCAAGGGAATGAATGAAATTTTGGAAGCATTACTTAAACAAAGAGTTGGTGTTTACATATAATCCCACTGTTTTGAACTCACCTTAACTTGAAATAAATAAATCAACACTCCATTCCAAGCATACAACTAAACTTTTTAATTACTTGTTTATTTATCTTTTTATTTTTCTTCCCTCCATTTCAAAAATCATAACCTTTGAATAATTACAACATGATGAAGAAAATGGAGACGGGAAAAAGCAATACATATTTAAACATATGTATACAACTGAACTTACCTACTGCATGGATTAAAATACTACATGGAAGACTTCCAGGTCTGGTAACAGCAATCCCTCCGGTCTTTATGGGACCGTATTTAGCTACATATTCATCACTTTCGTTTTGAATTTGATCTCCACCATTTTTAACAATTGCTCCAGCTACCTGGCACAATGAGAGGGTCATTGACACTTATCATTAAGAAGTGAATTACAGTAGTTTTACAAACTGTATGGCTAAATGAATTCTGGGTAAAGTGGGAGTGACATTGCTTATTTAAGGTCTGAGGGGAGGTGGAGGGAGTGGAGAAGTGGGAATTAATGAAATTATATCTACAGATGATCAGGTGGAGTCTCTAGTTCCAAACCTGTAGCCTTTGGAGGCTGTCAGAATAGAAAAAACACATTTTAGACCATTTTCAAACATTCAAGAAATCTTGGTAACATTAATATGAAAACACTTTTTACATATTGGAATTAAGGGAATTCATAAAATTAACCTCCACTTTCATCTCTGCATTCTTTACTTAACTACCGCAACCAATGGTTCATTTGGTCTGATGAAGGGCTAATGCTCAAACAGCAGATTTTAAACTCTTTATGATGGCCAATTTACACTTTTATATCAACTCAGTTGATAAAACAAAAATTGTCTTGTTACACTTCCCCCCCCCCCCCAATGCAGCACCACAGTTTCTTTAGAACCTTACCCCATTTACAGTAACAATGAATTGATCAACAACTTACTCCTCCACCATGTTTCAGCCAGGAGTTTGCAGCATTCACAATTGCATCCACATTTTCCTTTGTCAAGTCATTCTGTACAACTAAGGGAAGACCAAAACAGAGAAATTATTCACAATGATATCTAATGCCCAATTTTATAAAGCAATTTCAACTCTAGCTTTAAATGTGGACACAATCCAAACAGAACAAGTTTCTTACCTTCAATCTTTTTGGTTACGTTTTTGTCAGGTACATTGAATATCACTGTTGCATGGACAGTGCCCTAAGAATTGTTTAACAGGTTAAGTAATGCATATATTAAGAGTAGAGGAGAGTGAGAACATTATTTTCTAATCTGCACCCTACTCCCACCCCTACTTCCCTTTGAGAATGATAGGTTGTAAAAGGGTTCACAGTTTATCGTCACAGACACTGCTTCTGACATAAAAAATTCACATTTCCAAAAGGCCTGCAAAATTCAAAGAAGAAAACAACAGTGCTGCAGTTTTGCTTGGAAGCTTTCTGGCCACACACAATTCTCTGTTCTTGTTCTCACACATTGTGAACAAATAGATCAATGAGAGAATTCAATAATTGGTCAGTTAGTTCAAAATGATTGGCACACTCCTAAACATTGTGTACCAAAAACCCAGCAGACAACTATAACTGAACAGTCCCTCATATTTCATAACCAATTTGCATTTAATGACTTCTTCTTCTTTAAGTTAAGGTAATGTCCAAATTCTGACCAAAGGTACTTCTCTCATTAACATGCCACTGTGATATTGTGATTGGAAGGACCACACAAATTATTGACAATTACTGGGCAAGCAGATCAGTAGTATGCAGTGGCTGAAGGTTGAAGCATCTGATTGATAGGTAGCTGGTAAGTTTGCCCAGATGCAAGCTTGCCCCTGACCACTTTTTTGAATTCATCCCTTAACTTAAAACAAGTTTGCCCCAACCTTGAGCAGTTTGTTCCCAAATCATTCAACTTGATAACCTTGTTTTTAAGACTGATAGGAATTTTCAAGTTGATTCAGTCTTTTCATATTGGCCACCAAAATATTATGATTGTAACAGGTAGGGAAATGAATTATAAGATTTTGGGCAAACTTGTTTTATGTTAGGGGAGGAGAACTACAGCTGTCATTTACGTTCCCACAAAGTTAACGTAATTTCAGTTGAATATCTCAACTCAGACTCGGAGAGGGACCCTGGTGAGTTAACGAATGACATAGAACAATGAAAGCATCAGAGTCAAAATAATAGAGCTAAGTGAAATGATTATGACAAAATAGAGAAAACATCCACCATAAAACCGCGGTGAACCCAATATTTTGACTTACCCCTGCTAGACATCTGGCCAAATAGCTGCCGTTGCCTCTATTTAAAGCTCTGACAAGATACCAATGTGCACTAGAGAACAACATGTCACATAGCTGCAGCGTCTCCAGAGGGGATTTTCGCAGCTGAAAAAGCTAATGTGATGCAATTGCAAAATTCTTTCAAGTTTGCAGCATCCTTAATTTGAGACGCGTTTGGAGAAAAACAAAGCTCATTAGAGCCCTCGAACTTTCTGTTCAGCAACACCCCAATGAGTGAATCGTTTCTACTGGATAAAGGTCACGAAATATCATTTTATCGTAATTTTTCCTCTGACAATAAATCACTCGCCTTTCAAAAATAAAATTTCTGGCTGTCCAAATCTTAATTTTTTTACTCAGAGCAAAATTGATGAATTATACTTTTGTTTTTTCTCTTATTTGAAAATGATCCCATTCTGTGCGAAGGTTCGTTCGAGGTATTCCGAGCTTCGTTTGAAGTACACTTTTTTAGCAACGGACCTAATAAGTCTGCAGGTCATAACATATTTCATCCAATCTCCTACTTTGTGTATAAATTCTTAAATACAGTAATATTCTGCGTATTTTCGAACGAATTCCGCCAACATGATTGCTCGTGTGACAGGCACACCGGATGTTGCGTGACAGTAAAAGAAATGCCACCTCACAAAGACCCTTCTGTGAAGCTCCGCTTGTTAATACCAGTGCAGCCATCAGAAAGTGTTCAACCTCCACGGCCATGTATCTTCTACTGGCCTCGAATTTACTGTGCTTATGCTTCACTTCATCCAGTGGAGCACAATCACGTTATCGACAGCGAATTCTTGTTCTCGGAGGTGACGGAATGCTAGGAAGCGAGACGGTGGCTCGGTTGAAGCTGAGAGGACACGACATCACAATCGCGCATCGAGGGACGTGGTACTGGGACTCTGCTCTTAGAATCAAACCTTGGGTCAAATTCGTGCCTTGCGATCGAGCTAAGTTTAACGATTGCGCTGAAAGACTTGGAGATGTTACACAAGAGAAAGGCATGTTTGATGTGGTGTTCGACTTTAGTGGTTACAGATCTAGTGATATTAAGGTAAACAGTCACCTTTTGTTACAATGTAATATCGATGTTTATTGTCAACAATTTGTTTGTTTGTAAACGCAACGTAACCTGTCGGTGCGTTCTACGGGTCTTTACGGAGTGCGTTCTTCTACGATAGCGTAAATGTAACGTTAATGAAATTTAAAAAATTCAACGAGTTAAGGCCTTGTATTCTTATCCTTTATAATCCGTGCAAGCGTTCGTGTCAGAATTCACGCACATAAACGATACATGGCTCTTACAGGAGTGCATTTCTTTGTCACATTTCACTGTGATCTGTTACAGCTACCGTTGCGTGACAACTTCCACGCGGCCGAACATTAAGGTAACAGAATCGGTGAATCAAAGTGCTTTTAACAGAAATCATGCGCATGTGTGACGCTTGGCACTTGTTAAAACGAACTCAGTGAAATTAAACGTTAAAAAAATTTAAGATTCCAGGTAACGAATGTTTACTGAAATGATATCAAATGTCCTTGTTTAAGAGCTCTTTTCGGCAAGCACTAACTAATACACTTAATTCAGCTACCCCCAGTTGGGCACGGTAAAGATTGAAGATTGGGACAATTATATGGAAAAGGTTTCTGTCCTCCCCCCCCCCCCCCACCCTTCCCACCGTGGATTTCTACTTTCTTAGATTTTGTTTAACATCTTCAGGATTTTATGCTCAAGATGCGTAGCAGGATTCGTCGTTACATTTACATCAGCACTGATTCTGTGTATGAGGTTTGCGAGGAACCTTCCCACGAGGGACCCACGCGTGAGGACGATGCCAAGCGCCCAGAGGATCCGAAGACAAGGGAGGCCTATAGTCAGAAGGACCCTTATGGAAGTGCAAAGCTGGATTGTGAGTACATTTAACCTGCTTGCTATTTCAAGCATCTTTTTGGGTACAAGTCTTAATCTTAAAAAAAGCAAAAAGAACTGATTGGTCAGTTTTCTATGATATTACTGACTTCTCTTCCCTCTTAAAATAAAGGTTATATAGCTTACGCAAATTGTTATCGGTTAGTTTCGATCTGTTAAGTCGATTTGTTGGCTATAATAATTGTCGTCAACCGTTTGCACAATTGCCTATTGCTATGAAAACTTGCTGAGAGTCGTCTGTACTAAATCTGTGAACCCAATTTGCAAAGTAAACCTTGCCGGCGAGCCAGCCGCCATTGTGAGCGTTAAAGGACGCGCGTTTCTCCGCCTGCGGGAAGATTTGAGACGAATTGGGGAGAAGCTCGCTGAGGGTCTGGCACTATCAGTACGGAACCCCTACAGGACGTCTCTATGGCTCGCGTTGCTCACAGCCTCGTACTTTCCCGCAGGCGAAGAAACGCTTGTGCCAAAGCGCTGACAATAAGGGTCTGCTCGCTGGCTTAGTCAACCTTAAGTGTTTCGCATCAGTAGGCTTCTCAATTATAACCCTCAGACTCAAAAGCCAGACGTAGCTATGATTTTTTAAAGAGAGAGGTGGGGTATTGGTTACGAATCTTCGCGTGCTGTATTCATGTGGAAAATAAGATCTGCCATAGAGTATCTGGAAAAGATTTGTGCGGAACAGATTCTTCGAATTCGCGCGTTTTTATCATGTGAAATATAAATTTGTATGTACTTAAAAAAGTATCCTAATGTGCGAGCAGGCCTTCATCAAAAGCGCTTCCGTACAAATGTTTCTTCGCGAGCTAGAAAGTTTGACAGCACCGCGCGCAAGCCGGCGCGCGGTCTCATTAACCTTCCTGCATGCACATAATTCCCCTAACTACGTCTCTACAAGCTCAAAGTATTGTCTGAACGCAGACGAATTTGTCTCCTAGGTGAAGAGGTTCTCAGAAGAGAACACGAACTATGGAACATTCCTTTTATGATTATTCGCCTTCCTGACGTCATTGGAATGCGAGACAACACCGATCGCTTCTGGCGCTATCTCCTTTGGATGCGTTTCCACGACATCTTTGACAAACCTTTAGAACTGCCAAAGAGTCTTCAAAACAAGCCGCTCAGTTTCGTCTTTGCCGAAGATGTAGCAAATCTCTTGATTGTCCTACCTGAGTACGACGAGAACGTATACAACTTCGCTTACAACCTAGCCTTCCGCGAGACTGCAACGCTGGAGGAATTTCTCCAAATTACGGCGAAGCATCTTGGTGTTTCTGACGTAAAATTTGACAAGTCTAGCGAGCGAGGAACGTATTATTACCCCTCGGTGACGCGCGGACCGGTAGATATTGAAATGGCGTGGAATTATCTTCGCTGGAATCCGCACACACTCGACAAAGCTATTAGGAAGACAGTTCAATTTTACGAGTACGCGATGCGTTCAGAAGATTTTAAAGAGAAAAGAAAGGCAATCCTGGACAGTTTGCCTGTACCTGGTCATGCCATGGAAGCGTTTAAACAACGGCTAAAAGAGGTCTACGGCTTGGACTACGATAGACCAGCAGATGTCAAGGACGAGTTATAACCATTAAAGTACCTACGGAATCCTAGTCTAGGGAGTTTTCTATGTAACAGACTTAACAGCACGCAATTACGTGTAGCCCCACTTTCCAAGCATAAGCTGTTGCGCTAGTCGACGCCCACACCGCTACGTGCATTAATGATAATTTAAGGCTGTATGCAGAGGTGTATGTGCTGTTGAAAGGCTGAACAGAAGTAATAAAAGATTTTTACGGCAGGTAACTCCCTGTAACAAACTGGATATCTCTATTTTATTGGAACCACTTAGTCTAACTCCAGACTTTAAGATACAATGGCCGGTAATATAAGTTTGCTATCCTTATTTTTTTATAACAAGTGCAGAAGGTTCGACTTAAACTTGAATTATTTGAGAACGATTACACAAAAAGAAAGTCGATGAACAAGCACAGGTACGAAATTACATAACGAACCGCATAGATCAGAACAACCGGAACTACCGTTTAACTATGAGATAAATCTTCCGCTTTATCAATTTAATCGAACACAAAATTTGAACAGTAATGTGATCAATTCTGACAATAAGAGGGCCAAGTTACACAATGTTAAGGCAACTTTTCCGTCCCTAACAATTGAACCTAATAAGCTGAAGGAGATTAGGAAATGTTGGTGTACTGGTGTACACCAACAAAAAAAAAAACGAATCAACGAGAGAGAAAAAGGGGAGTTCGAGAATCGAAAAAAAATCAACCCGGATTCTAAGTGACGAACTACCAAAAAAAATTATCAAGTTTTGGAGAATCATAGAGCGCAACATAGCCCTCGTTCAGCGGCAAACTGTTCCTGCATATATAAATTTCTATCTTTGCTTATTTACAGCATGTGCCCTTCCATTATGTGAAGTGCGTTTCGCATAGGCTTCTAGGAAAAGGGTGCTACATCTCCATAGCAAAAAGGTCAACAATTATCTTTTTGAATCGTTGATGCCTCAAATTATGTAAAAAATGACAAATAAAAGTGATCCATGGAAATGAATAGCGATAGACTGGGCGAGACCTGTCAACCTTGGAAGGCGCCTGCGCTTTCATTACTGCCACTGACTTGTAGGACAGCGTTGAATAAGGTTCTCGTCCACTCCGATTAGCTTTACGTCAAGAAGAAACAGCACCAGCCGTTTGAACATAACAATTTCATTTCCATGGGCACTGTTCAAATTAACTTTAAATTAAGACTGAACAAAAAATGTCGTCCAAACTGACAAATCTATTGACACTTTAGAGAAGCATTTCAACACCCATCCTAAACTTGAAAAAAATCTAACACAACCAGAGTTCGTAAAAAGGAATAATGGCGTTAAACTAAGCGACCACGTTCTTATCGTTGTTATAAATACAGGACAAGATGATTTTTTTGGCCCTGATATAAGCGCCGTTGGTGAAATCTCTACCCAAAGCTCTCAGTATATATATTAAAAATCTCAGAAAGTTAGCGCAGCATTCATTTCATTACAAAAGCTTTAGAGCTCTATTAATGGAAACATTATGCAAACTATTAACATGATAACTTTTTAAAACGCGCCGCACGTCTTTAAATACTATAAAACCTTTAGCATGGCCGATTATGGCCAACCTAACACTTAACAATTTAACCTTTTTCTGATCACGCGGTTTGACAAAAGCCCCCACCGCTTATATCTACTTACATACGTACATAGTCTCCTTAGTCCTTTTATGTAAACCATTATATGGCACCATATTGACAGCATACACGCTATCGTAAATATGGTAATTATATAATAGTCATTTCACCATCCCACTTCACTTGTTTCCGCAGCATGTGAATATCATCACCTTTCAATCACAAAGTTCACATGGCGAGATAATCAAATTGATTATTGAAGATACGGATGGCAACTTAAACGCCAAAGTAATTTTTCAGATTAAGTTAGTAGCTCTAACAACTTCATTAATATCAAGACTGCTCGCCTTTGTCTTTCGCCTTGGCCTCGATCAGCTTTTTCTGACGCCGAATTTGTTTCTGTAGCATACTTAGCCCTTCTTCATCCGAGTGAGCGCCTTCACCCAGTTCCTGATCCTCCTTGTTCAGTTCACCATCAGAAAGTCCAGTCCTTCTCTCCGGACACGGCGGTGGAACAGATGATTTCCTTGCGGGAGGCATTGGTGCACTTCTGCTTCGCGCGGCATGACTTGCCAGAGCTGCCAGATGCGCCTGTTGAGCTGCAGACGGTCGCCCTGATACACTTTGACTCCTATTGTACGTGGACTTCGCTTTCTGCTGGGGCGCCCACCCGCCCGAGTTTTCTTGTATACTTTCCGGATTCGAGCGATGGTAACGTCCTCCATAACTAAAATATCCAGAATCGCTGCTGTTCATGCCACCAGCCGGCACCTCGCCGTTGCCTGAATAGCTGCTTTGCGAGGAAGTCTCACTGTCGCTACGTCGATGCGCAATTCCTTGGTAGTAAGGCGACATAGCGGAAGCCGATTCACTCATACACCGTGATCGAGTGCTGCTAACAGCGTAAGGCGTGGCGTATTGAGGGCTCTGGGTATTCCTTCCTGAAAGCTCGTTGGATCTCGGGTGTTCCGCGATCGAGGAGGGAAGATATACTTGTGCAAGCGAGGCAGAAGGTGACCTTTCCCCTGAGGAAGACGAATAACACCCGGAGTCCGTGGACGTTGTCCAAGATGTTCTGTCGCCTTCAAGGAAGGAAAAGAAACCAAATGAGAAACTGCTGAGTATTACCCTGACATCTTTAATTTTACCCATAACTAATCAGTGATCCCTGTCTCCATAACGAACAAGCCACAAAAAGTCAATAAACAGCGAAAAAAAAAAAAAACCAGTCAAAGATAGAGAAACCCTCGGTTTTTTTTGGCTCTCTTTCGTACCTGGCCCTGGTACGACTCCCAATGGACCCGCTCTCTATCCTTGGCTCAAAGGACACAGAAATTACCTTTACTTGGGATACTTGACAGGTTTCTCTGGTAGTTTGCTGGTACAGAGTTTTATTCCTCGGCAGAGAGAGCTGGAACGCTTAAAACCTTCGAAGTTTGTAGTCCTTGTAAACACAACACAAGATTGACAACCGAACCTTTCGTTGCAGTGTCTATCATCAACCAATCGAGTTTGACAAAAACAATTACAATACTTGACTTGCCTGGATGGGGTAAGGTGGGCACTGCTCCAGGAAAGGGTGGAGGGGGTAATGGTTCGCTCTGCAAGTCTCCCGAGTAACCGGGCGATAGCAGCGGGGTTGGCGGCTGCGGGAAGCTCTCGATGGACGGCGACCCAATAGACGAGCCTAAAGATGACATTGAAGAGTGCGAGGAGGTCGAAGAAACACTAAAACTTGTAGAGCGCGCGCAGATCCGCGGAGGCGCGACTTTCTTAGGAGAGGTGGTGGGTGTCACCGATCCAATGACCTTGTTCCGCGTTTGAGTGTGTTTGACGGAGAATGAATAATGCCGGCTGAAAGCGTTGTAGTAGGGGTCCGTTTCCGAGGGAGGCGGCGGAGGAGGGGTGGTAGGGGGGTCCCGGCCGGTATGCAGCGGACTTGCAGCTCTCGTCAGAGTTGCTGTTGGACTCGGTGGAGGAGACTTAAGTTTAAAATAAAAGAGGAGAAAAATGAATTACAACATGATGCGAGAAAAGTTAGGATAATGACAATTATATTAAGGTGGTAAGTTTCTAAAGAAACTATGGTGCTGCGCCGGTGGGAGATTATAACAGAGTAATACAGTACTAACAACTTTGCTTAGCATTTACTCTGACGAAGGGCTGACACTCGAAAAGTCAGCTTTGAAACTCTTTACGGTGGCCTATATATGTTATCAACTCAGTTGATAATACTAAATTATGATTTTACATTACTGTTACAGTACAATAAAATATTTACCTATTATCCTTAATTTGATTATTATTATTATTTACAATTCACTATTTATTATTAACGGATCATGTTACTGACCCCAACAGACAAGTTGTTCAATTTTCATCAGAAGTTGCTTGGATGGTTAGCTGGTATTGCAAGAAGAAACTACGTGTTCATCACTTCAGGGGGTTCACCTACTCAGCGAAATGCTGAGCGCAAGCCGGTGTTATCAACTATAGACTATAAGGGTCTACAGTATGACTGGCAGGCATTTGATTCTCTGCGAATGTGCAGTAAGCATTTAATTCTGATTTTCTCATTTGATTATACGTTATAATAGTCTACGCGAGGGTAGCCCCGCAAAGGACTATTCTCGGTGGCAGTGACTGGATATTTTTCAACTTGAGCGGAAGTGATAATCAGATTTAAAACTTAATCGCCGGTTATTTTACCTGATCATCGTAATTATGATGATCCGACAATCTGAATTCTCGCACCAGATCCTCTCCCGCTGGTGGCAGAACGGTGGGATTTTTTGTTTGTTTAACGATGTCCTCGAGAACAGACTGAAGGTGTTCTAGTTCCCCTAACATGGACATCTCGTGCTCCTAAAAGAGAACAAAACCATATTACATTAATTTGCCCTAACGTAAAACATGATCAACCGTAAAAGTAGTTGAAATAAAGTTTGCATTTAAAATAGCAGCTGACCACAAGAGTGAATGACAAAAAGAGAGAATATTAGTCCCAAAGTTTACTGTACTTTCCTTAAAAATGTTTCGCAGTTACCATATCCACTGCAAGTGGCCAATTAGGTTATTTTTTGCGGCCAAAATCCTTCGCTACTTGTTGCTACCTGTTCTCAACTTTTGTGGGCAAACAAGAGTTTAAATCTCCTGATTCTTTCAAATTATGTGTTAACAGCGAAACATGTCAAAACATGTTTCGCGTAAGATGCCAGTAAGTCACTAAACACTTTTCCACCACAATAATTTTTTTTCCCAAACCCGTTCATGGCCCATGCGCAGACGTTCCAGAACTTACCATGAAATGCGCTCAACTTTGATTATTTTCAACTTTGTAGTTGACCGAAAGCATAATTTCGGCGTTCATTTTTTGGTGCACTTACAAGTCAAACAAGGAAACAAAGATGATTTGCTTTTCTATGGCCTAATAATCGGACCTACCACAACTGGCCTAAAACAAGTTGACAGCATGCAGTATCTGGTCCTTTCCTCAATCAACGCTCTCTGAAGGAATCGCTTTTCCTGGTCTTCAAAAAGAGCTTGTTGATAACTTGCTTGCTGTAAAATCAAGCAACAGAATTAATAAATTCACAACACTGAAATCTGTGTTCTAGGAGAACTATGCCAAATATATAAATTATGTGTACGAGTAGATTCTAATGAGCACTACTGAAAACTATATGCCACACAAATTGTTGCTTAGAAAAACGAAGAGATTCAAGAGCCAATTCGTTTATGCCTCAGTGGAAATTCTATATCAAAATGCCAAAGGCACTCAATTAACCCTTTAAAAGAGAGATTGGCATCTAATTTCTCCTTGACCTATCACCCTTGACCTATCACCCTTAACCTATCACCCTCGACCTATGACCCTTGAATCAAAAGTCAAGGTCACAAGAGAAAAAAAAAAAAAAAAAGAAACGATCACCAATTTGAGAAGCTCTTGAATGTCACACAAATTCTTCTTGTTAGTAACATAGAAAATGTAAAGAGAACAGTGTGGAGAATGGGAATGCTGATGTTGGGGTGCGATGAGTTTAGAAGCCTAATAAAAACCAGAGATAACAATTTGTAAATACTGACACCAAATACATGCTATATTAGTTCTAACCTTCATGGCAGCATCCAACTTTTCTTGGTGCTCTGATTTTCCTAATAGAACAAAGAAAACCAGGAGAAAAAGAAAAAAATTAGTGATCATCAAAATTGAGAGAAAATTACTTCTCAGCAATTAAGAGTGACAGCCATGGACTGAAAAATCTTATGTTCTTTCTGTGACAAAGAATGCTGAGGACCAAAAATAAAAGGGCTGGCACTTGACGAACTTTGTGACTTACAGAGCAAGGATTTGTAAATCACCCTCTAATGGTCAACTTGACTTATGGCCAGAAAGCTATCCTCTGAGGGTGTCCTTTGCTTGAATACTTTAAGACACTAAACTGAATTCAAAGGCTTTGCTCACCTAACTCACCTTTTTTAACCTTCTTTTGCCATTTACTTGTCTCTGCTGTGGCCTTTTTTAGTTCCTGTTTGGCTTTCTTATATTCTTAAAAAATAAAAACCACATAAAAATTAAAAGAGAATCCATCAAAGACTGTGCAAAGCCAGTCTGTCAGTGAGTGAAAAAGGGACACTAGTGTAACTAACAAGATAAAGAAATTTTAATAGTAGTGGGATAGTGGGATGTCTTGATGGCAAGTCATTTCAGCACGTTATGGAAAGCAGAATAATATATCTCTTTAACAAACTATATTGAGAACATTAAATATTAAACAATTATTTTGTAGAGTTTTAGGGAAAAAACTACCTTTTGCATGATCTTTGTCTGTCTGCACAACAGACTTTTTCCAATCATCCAGCCTCTCTTGCAGAGGAAATATCAGTGACTCATTTAGCAATCTGAAAATGTCATCAAAAATGGATAATAAATCAGTGAACTTCAGATTGAAATTTATCCTTGCAAGTCTTTGACTTTTAAGTGACAAGTCACCAGTAAAAAAACTGAGCCTAATTGTGAGGTCACTCTGAATTGTATGACACTTTCAATCTGAATGACTTGAAAAATCCATAACCTAAGTGATACCTAAGTCACAGGAGTCTCAGGGAGTCTATGTTCATCCTTACATGAGGTACAAAGCTACAAAGCTGAGCTGCTCCTGACTTAAGAAGCAGAGCTACCAAATTTCAAAGTTAAAAATCTCTTATGTTCCATGTATTTCCTATGAACATACCCAGCAAATCCTTTGAGTTTACCATCCACACTGCGATGTCTTATCACCATTTTAGTGAGAGAGCCTCCAATGTCTTTGCAGCATCCTGGCATACAATAATTGATGATTAATAATCGTTATTGACCAGTGAAATCAGTCCACTAATTATAAAAAACAAGTCAATGACAATCTCCAAAGATTGGTCTTGTCCATGAACCATGGACAAAATTTTGTAATTACAGGGAAAGTAACAACTATCTCCATGAACTCCTCTATAATTCTTTACAGATCACAACCAACTTTTGAAAATGTTGAGATCACAGCACTGCCAACATGCCCTGAGTTTCAGGCCCAGAATATTGGTAATCCTTGTCTGATGAAATATATTAAGCTTGAAATTCTATAAACAAAGTACTTTAAAAACATGGATATTTTTTATTTTTTGCTCAGTAATATTTCACTGGGTATAAGGCACATTAGGAACTGACAATTTTGTTCACTTAACACAATTCTGATCCATACAAGTTCATACATGTATACTACTGGTAAATAAGGGCAAAAACAAAGATTTGCCCACTGTTCTCTGGAGATTTTGGAGTTACCAGCCATCAAAAATTTTTTTAATAGTAGCAGGCAGTATACAAGTCAGTGCCCTTAAGAACATAAGCACCTATTTCCTTAACATCTATTTCACTTGCTTTAATTGATTGCTTTCTTTTCAGTTTTAATCAATATTTTTTGGTACTACACAGAGAAAGCAAAGACTAAAGTTATTTCTGATAAAGACTGGTCTTTGACTATTTTGTTTTGATGAAGTAACTGGCGCTTCAAAAACAAGAAGCAGACAAAAAGGCAGCCGCTGGTGCTTCTAGAACACTGTTTGCCTAGATTAATGTATAAGACACCAAACAAATGGGTTGTCAATCATCTTAGCTCCATTAAGTGACCACAAGTCTGGCATTCAATGTAAAGGTTTTTAAGTAACACAAACTATTTCTATCCAAGCTGGAGCCAAGGCAAATTGAATACAAAGCTGAAATTCTAAAATTTGCTTGCAAAATAAGGCATAGAGGAACACTTCAGTGACTTAAACGACAAACAAAAAAAAAATCTCCTCCATACCTTATGCATAGCATGCATGACTAAAACCATACATATTGTTATCATTAGAATGAACATTTCTTAAACAATTTTGCCACGATAAAGAAAATTTAATTAAGAACACAGGAAAAAAACCTTTCTGAAGGTTTTTCTGCTTTCATTCAACACAGTGATAACAAGATTAAATATAAAATTGTGTACAGGCTGTAATTAATAGTTTTTCAGTTACCCGCTGGCCAGTCACATTGTGAGGATAAAAAAGGACATTCTTTTTCAATTCACAGAATGACTCATGTGAAACCAATGTTTGGTCTAAAAATATAATTTTTAAAAGTGTAATTAGAACTGACAGCAATAATTTATGATTGGCAAAGTGCTCCATTCATCATCAGTGAACTGGAAAGGAATGTACTATGATGACATCATTTTAAAATTTTAAAGCCAGAGACAGGAACAAAGAAATATTTACATAGAATGACATTCTTTGTTTTATGTATAATAGAAATGAATAAAAAAATATTTTTTTGTTTGTGATAAGTAAAAGGAACCCCCTCCTTCCTGACTAGAAATCTTCTCTAAGAGACAAACTGGAAATATTTCTTGCAACATTGTGTAATACAGCCTAATAGCATGATTGTATCTGCATATGAGCCGCAATCTAGTTAATTCTGATATGAATAATTGACCATTTAAACAGAAATAAACAGCATTTTTAACATTTTGTCTGGGATAATTGCTTATTTGTTGAAGCATAAGTTATCTAAGTGTAAAATTATAAATGCCCAAAGTCAATATACCTGTTTTACTCAAAGCTGAAAATATCTCTTGATAAAAAGTACACTTTGACATGACTGTCAAGCCAACTTCGTTTCAAAACATTTTTGTTTTCACAATTAATTCAAGAGGGACAAAAACACTACAGATTCAAAGGTGTGCCAGTAAATTAATGGCTCTTTAAACCTAGGACTTATCAAAAGGAAGTTGAGGTATTTAATTAAGCACAACAGCCCCGTGTGGAGGAAATGTGACATCTTGGTTAATGAGAGGATAGTCATTGCTAAAAGTAGCTATGTCTTCCAATATGGCAAGAACACTGGGTAGAAATAAAATGAGAAAGTTCTTATCTTTCAAATTTGTTTTGATCTATCTTCCTTGCATCTTCTATAAAAATTTGTGTCCCCTTAAGAACAGACAAGATACAGAGACAGCTTTATTTCTTAACTATTTCCCCACATAACAATCTTAAAAAAAAATTATGAATGATTTGACAACAGAGTGCTTCCTTTTTTCTGTGCTTTCTAATCTTCAATTGATAATCAAAATAATTAGTTTTTAATCCAAAATTTCACAATTTATCAAAGCTTATTTGGATAACTCACCCAAAGACAAATTTGGTGATATCATCTCAATGCACATTCTATTTTCATTTCCTCTCATACTTATGACAAACTAATTTGACATCTCTTCCAAATGTCTGCTGTTAGATACCATAGCTTGGTCAAAGATATAAAATTCCTTGCACAAACTTCACACGAAAGATATGCAGAACAGAATTTGTCCATTCCTAAATAATAAATTAATCCTCTCCTTAGCCTTTTTGTAATGTAAGTGAATCAAATTTTTATTATTATTATTATTATTATTTTGCTGCATATGTTTTAAGGGGTATGTATTACTCTGTGCCTGCCATTCAAATTTGTAACTGCTTTCATAACCAACCATTATAAAAATTAAATTAAAAAGGTATATTTCAGTACCTGTCCTTTTTACAAATCAACATAATAACAAAATTCCCAGCAGGATGCAATACTGTTATAATTTTCCTGAGACACCCAACAGGAAAATAAATTTAGCAAAAATCAATCTGCTGTAGTAAACAAGTGATTGATTTAAAAGTCAAATAGAGGGGATACTTCGTCGTGTTAAAACAGACCTCCACATCTGTGCAAGTAACATTCAGAGCACATTCAAAATTTCACGGTACTTACTTATATGACAATTTTATAACAAAATTGCTTGGTGTAATGTAAGTACTTTTGACAAAAAATTACGTGAGATAAAATGCAGGAACTTTGGCTCGTACAAAGCATTTCCAACAACTTCAAATATCTTCTAAAAACACACAGAATAAGGAATTCACCGCAGAATCTTGAGGTCGATTAGTTACATTAACTGTTTCCGTAAGAGGAGATGATTGGTGAACACATTTCGTTCTAAAAAATCAGTATCATGGCAAAAACTTCAAATTTTGCACGACATTTTTCGCAACGATACAAGATTTTAAAAAAACTCGCGCAATTGTATTATAAATACGGAAAAAAGATATTTGTTCTGGCAGTTTGACAATATTTAATCGGTAGAGCTTCGTTTTTGAAAAGAGACCTCCGAGCTCGGCTGACATACATTTCCTGTTTTTGCTTCGTCTATCTGAAGTCAATCGATTCTTTGCAAAATTCTGTAGAGTGTTTTTTCAACAACGCGGATTTTCAAGACTCCATAAACTCAATTAGCACCCAGAAATACAGAACAGGTGGCACGATACAGGATTTATGACGGAAATAATGCAACGAAACCAAACCGCAAATTTGAAGCAGGGAAATTGATAAGACGGCAGAAAAAATCACGATTGCTTACAGTGAAAGCATAGTAAAGAAAAAATATTTTCACGCGCCGAAAGAAAGAAAAACAACACAAAAATTTCCCTCAGTAAACACAAGCAAATATCGTACAAATTTAAATGGCGCAGAACAAAATTGCGCGGTAAAATACGATTTTTCTCGCGCCAAAATTTTTAACGGACCATGGCTTGAAGCTGTACTCTCAGATATTTTTTTCGAGCAAACAGCTGAAGCTATGGTGATAATTTCAAGTACGAATTTCCTGAACGTCGCTGGTTTATTTCAAGTTTGCAACGTCGCCATAACCGTGTCATATTTCTCAACTGAACAACAACAAAGCAATCGTTGTAGGCGCAAACGTCCTCAATTGTATTCATTCTTGGTTTTTCATTTCAAATTCACTGGATCGCTTATTCGTAGAGCCAATAACTCTGTTTAGTGCAATTCAACATCAACTTTGCCTGTTATCCAGTCATTTTACCTATCTAAGAAGCAGAACTAAACAACATGCCGTCGCATTTCTTTGAATTACAATAAAATTATAAAAGGATTTGTAAATTCCCTTATCGATCGCGTTTTCGTGGAGGATTTCAGGGAATACTAGATAAAAACTTTCCGCGCACTCAAAATTTAACTATCGAGTGTTCTTAAAAGAGAAAATGGCTCACTAGCCAAACATGAACACGAAATTCTTTCACAAAAAGTAAACCTTGCCAAAATAAACAACGACTAAAAATATCTTGAGCTCAGACTGTGACCCAATGAACCCAAACCGTAGAGTGACATGGTTCACTACAACATGTGCTTTTGACTTGTGTAGTTTTTCATTTCGGAAAAAAATTCAGAGAAAATATCTTGTTGAAAAGCTTCTTGAATACCTTGGCAGAGTTCTTTCTGAATAACTAAGGTTCTAAAGCAAATGAAAGTTTAAGTATACGCGGCAAAATGAGAGTATAGTGTAAGAGAGGTAAACTGACCTCGTGATGAATTTGCCAGATCCGCAATTCGCTGAAAAGCGTCCAAAAAAGCGTCAGCAGCTACAACTGTTGCCCTGAACAAATAAATATCAAAACCAATAACCATCTTTATTCCCTAAGGCAAAAAGATGAGTGATCTAAATGTAGATAAAAAAAAATCACTCCAAATTATACGAGACGTACTTGAGCGCCGAGTGTAGTTTACTTGCTTTGCCGACGAAATCTTCCCAAACAGGGGCGCTAGACTGGATGAAATTGAAATATTAAAACTGAGCTTGTCTAGGAAAATTAAGCATCAAAATAAGTTTTCAAGATCAGAGAGAATTCTCACCTTTAAATCGTTCAGTATCAAGTGAATCAAGTTGCCTTCGCTGTCCGCGTTGTCGCCCATAATTATGGCGGTTTGTAGTTCGCTTTCGATCCTCTTCTACCCTCACGTTTTCAACATGAGTTCACCGAAGTCTCCCAATCTTTACCTTGGAATTCCAGGATTCCTTTCGTCGCGTAGGGGTGTAGGAGTGTCAGTTTTCACGTAGTGTACAAGGATATCCCACTAAACGTACGGAAGCAGAACTATTTCTTTTCTACAAAGGGAAAATACACCTTTCGATTAATCCCACACATATCACAGTCTGTGATCGAGTCACGTGATATGTTATCACTGACTTAATTTACATACAACAAAAGACGCGGTCGATGGCAAATTAAAACAAATTTCTACTAGGTAGTATCATCAATTAACAAATTTACGCTCAGAACAGGAAATAATATTCATCGAAAAACGTCCCGAAGTGTCGCTTTGCGTCGCTCAATTGAGGTTTTTACAAAAGATCGAGACACGCAACGATCGATAAATGATGTTGGAATGATATCTGATAAATCATACGCATTAAATTTAGTAACGTTGAAATATAGAACCCAAGGCTTCAATAAGCCGAGTATTTCAGGAATATGTATTAAATTTAGACTATCTAGATTACGATGAGGAGAAAAATTTGCGTCTTTGAAGAGATGTCAAAACCACAAACTTAAACAAAGGCGAGCATGGCAGCTTGAGGGCTTACATTATATTTCTCTAAAAACACGAGCCCAAACTTATCAAAACTACATACCTCATGGCAATTATTGGCAAAAGAATTGTGCGCAGTAATTTTTGAGACCCATATTATCGATACATAAGTAAGATGAACGAATGAAATACCTCGACGTTCCACTTATCAAACGCGCGCATCTTGAAAATGTATCTGGGAACTTCATTTGCCAAGAATTATCTGCCGGTGAATCATATCAACAAAAAATATCTGAAGTTTGTCGTTCTTTGAGGACTTGAACAAAGTGACTAAAAACATATGGCGGCAGAATCTTTTAGCGATATGTCACCAGGTTGTAAACTCACATAGCCGGCAAATCAACATAGGAGGTTTTGATCGAAAACAGATCGGGAAAGGAATGAAAAATGTTGACTTCCCTCGCCTTTTGGCACCTCCATTTCATTTAAAGGTATTTTTGTCACTGTTCAGAACGGAGATTAGCACCTTGATTCTTGGTGCTAAAAAGAAAATTAAGAAGCTTTTCAATATGATGATCAGGTTCAATTCAGTGATCACTTACAACTGAGATGAATTTACACTCACTGTACTTCTCGATCCAGTCTTTCCAGTTTCCTGTGTAACAATCGTCACCCACAAGTTTCTCTTCCAATTTTTCTAATATTCTGTTTCCTTAGACTGTTTCACGTCAGAGAGATAAAAACACACTTAAAGCGTGTTTTCTAGAAAAAGTACTTCGTAAATAAGTGCGGTTTGAATCTCCGACTAAGTTGTGGTTTTAGACAAGATTAACGATTAAAGGCCGCCGTAAATTACTTATTCAAAATTTTGCCAATTAAGAGGTCATCATCGAAATTCTTAATGAGATAAAACGGCTCGACTTTTCTTACGGAAAGACAGCTTTTGTCCAAGTAAAGGAATACCAAGGCCCATATGTGCAATTCATATTGCCTTTGAGGGAAAAACGTCTCGGAAATGGGTACTTGAAGTAAGTACTGCTAGTAGTGTCTCAACTGTGATGTAACGGGAAAAGCAATGAAGTGGTTCTGGAAGACTCGGCTTTCAAAGAACTTGTCCAATCAGTTTGGAAACTGAGTAAAGTAGAAGTATGCAGTAGGAAAAAAGGAAGCTGATAGGATAAAAACAAGGAATGTGACAAACTTTTTTGAGCCAGAGTATTGATATTGAACCGAGTGACATCTGTTCTATGTTTCTTTAACAAGATAGTCGTTACATATGGAGCTACGAGCGTTTGATTATGCAACGGAATGGAAAATCACGAGAACTCGTAAGTGTATCAAGATGCAGTCAATATTTGTGCAGTTTTAGGTGCTGATTTTCATGGATGTAGAAAAGGACAAGGAGAGCAACAAACGCGGTTGACCACACTGGTGTAAGGCGAGCTGAGTCTCATGCACCGCGAGTCCATTACAAGTTGCTCGAATTATTTTTGGTTTGCTTATTTCTTATTCTAGGTTTTTTAGCCGTTTATAAACAAAACAGTTAAGATCAAAACATTGGCAAGAAAATCAAAGCATACATGCATATGAACAGCCGAGGCACTTTGGTTGGGTGCGTTGACGCAGCTTCATCGCAACTTTCCATCTTTCAGCTGCACTGTTCGAAGAGCGTCACTCTCGGGCTGTATGACCATTTCGATGTATCCGCGTGTAAAACCTCTCATGTAAGTATATCATTGAGGATAAGCTTAAATTTGATAGTACTTAACAAGGCATTTTTTCCCATAACAACGCAGCCGTAGTCTCCGAAACAATAAAACGCATCTCGCGTTAAAATTCAACTTTGTTTCGGGTTGGAAAACGAGAGATGCTTATCTGAAAACTCTAAAAAGAAGCAGATATGCTTGAAATGCTTTTAGAAAAAAGTGTAGCACAATTTCACAAGTCTGAAAAGCCTTTGACGCAGTAAGCTGATGGGCTGATAACTTTCCGAAGAAGGTGGGAGAATTCGTGGTCAATAGATGAAGAGATCGGCCAGTTATCACCATAAACTGCTAAGCCAAGCAGTGAGAAGTGGTCTTGCTCATCGAGAAAAATAATGATTTCTTCGCTTATACTAATTATTGGTTTATAAACTTATATAAATTATGCGCTAATTCTGAACAATTTTTGTTGAGAGACAGCAACAGAAGGTGGAACTCTTTATGCGTTTCAGTTTTCGGCTGCAAGTCTCAAGCGCCCGATATCATTTTCAAATTTTACGGTTTTTTACTCGTACATCGTAATGTTTAAGAATCAAGTCGGTAGAACTGACTTCTACTCATTCGGAAAATTCAGCGATATTTTTAGTCTCCTTTCCTCTTCCTCTAGACGAAAACGAAGTTATTCGCTTTCTTTTCAAAGTCAGTATGAAAATAGACCAGGACTTGAATTCCCTCGCTGTTTTCTTGTTGAAAGTGCACCGTCCTGGTACAAATGCGAAATACTTTTCGTAATGTCATAAAAAAAGGCTCATCCCAACAATTTTCAATTCTTTTGTTCCCTTGGTAACATTTTTGGTCAGAAAAAACCGCAATACTTCGCCCCAAAGGAAGTAGTTTAAATGTTTGGCACGCCCGCAAAGATTATATTGAATAGGGGCCATCATCGTACTTGAAACACCCGCCGTGTTGTCTGAGAACCCTGAATTTGCTAAAGGGAATCGTGCCGTAATGCAATTACTTTATAGATACGCGATTCTAGTTGACTATCAGGAATACAGATCTAAACACAAACAAACAACTACTCGACCTAACAATTGTATGAGCTTGAACTAACAGACGTCAAAAAGCAATTTTGAAACCACCATAGTATATATTGAAAAAAAATACAGCCAAAAAATGAACAATTGATAAATGTAGAAAAATCTGGAGGAAAGAACAGCTTATCAAAGGAATGTTAAACATACCGAAAATGCCAGTATATGGAACAGAGCATTGTCAGACCTAATAAATAAAGTGCGCAAGTTTGTAACTCGATCACCATAGCTCGAAATCGTAATTAGCTAAGAGACCGACAAATGCTCGATCAAGAATTCTACACACATGTAGAAATAACGATTACTAACCAGATATAACTAACATATGGAGAGCCGCAGTGTCCCGATTTCTCCGGCAGCTGTCATTTGAATTCTCAAAACTTTTGTTTTGGTTTCGAGTGAGGTTTCAATATTAGGAAGATCAGCTCTAGTTCGTCATACGGGACATCGCGCAGACGTCATGAGACAACTGTCACGATCCAGCGGAAGTAACGTGACGTTACATGTGAGTGTTGAATGAAAGTGTCACGTTACAACAGAGTGACTGAATCAGGAAGAGACGTGTCATGGCGAAGTTGACCTCCATTTTACAAACGACAACAAAACACAATATACAAGCTAATAACGAAGAAATTTGACGGGTACAAGTGCTGACAAAACTACGATTAAGAATCCTGGAACGGACTGTCAATTGGGTAACGGAATAAATCTACACGTAAAATTCAGTTAGTCCAAAGATGCGACAAACGAGATCTCAGGTGAGAATTCGAAGCGCTTTCTAAGTTATCTTTAATCGATTCTATGTCACTTTGGCTGGTATAGCCTTCCTCCAGATAATCCTTAGAGCTATGACGCAATTTGTCCTTCTCTAAAAACCTGAACTAAGCCAGTTTTCATATCTGATTTGACTTCCTTATCTTCCGGCCGTACGTTGCGCTTGCCTCGTGGATGTTTTTGTGCCGAAGAAAACGCATAATTTGAGTTTCCACTCTCTAAATTAGGCACAATTCACTCTGACGTTCAAAATGACATCATTGACAAAAGCAAAAGTACACATGTCTATAAAGTTTATGTCTCGAAGAAATCTTCGAAATAACAAAACATGCCTGAATTTGTGTCGAGTCAACGTTCCTACTCAGAAAGACTTCGCACTAAATCAAGAGGGAAAAACTTAATTCACGCTTACCTGAAAGAATCACCGCAAGATCTGAAAGACAAGCTATGCTCAAACCGGTATATAAAAAAAATGCATGTATCACTTCACACGCTGAGACCAGTTTTGTGCGTGGCAAAACAAAACATTCAGTCGTTGTCAATAGACAGACTGCTTTAAGCAGTTTTCCCGTGGGCGAAAACTAAAGCAGTGAATTGGCTGCCAAAGAAACATATGATTACCTTTTAAACGCGTGACTGGCGAAGATATTGTGTGAAGTTCCCACGCTTAGAGAAGGTTTTCGATAAGAATTTAATATCGGTTGATTTTAATATGAGAGTACCGTTCGTTTCAAAAATTTGACCCTCTTTCTCGATGTCGGTTAAACATCAGTCGTATTTGTTTCATTCCGCGTGGGTTGGCAGTTTGAAGTACCTGGCATTATTTTTGTTAATGACCTATGCGCGTAAACTTCTTAGTATGAATCGAGTAATTTTCCGATCCCAGTCTTTCACGCCTCCCTCCGGAAACTCGAGTATTTGATTTATTTTTAATATAAAAAACTCCTCTTCCTTGAACCGGTCGTAATAAAAGCGAAAAGAGAGGAAAATGTTAAAAAAAAGTCAAGAAAGCGAGCTGGCGTCTGTAGAGTATTTTGATTGTTCTTATTTTTCATTTATTAACTTTTGTTTGGATGTTGTTATTTTTGTTGTTTTTTTCTTCTTCAGCCAGACCGGTCTAGACTAGAAAAGCATGGACAAACGAAGCCAAAAAGAGATTATCTAAGTCTGTTACATGAGCAGAGTTTAAATGGAAATCTGTATAATCTTATAAAGAATTTTGGAAGAAGGCCAGTTGTGTTAACCAAGGAATCTAGCAACTTCTTCTCTTCGCTTCTAAGAAGATAAGAAAATCTAATTAGTTTTCTATGTTATAATCATCAAGTAATTCGACATATTTATCTAAGTTCTCTTTAAGTTAAGAGGCAAGATATTTTCATGTGGTGACAGCATCGTTCAAAAACCCGTAAAAGTGAACGTTCTGCAAATATTTCTGACTCACAGTTCTCATAAATACAAGAGAGCTCTTTAAATGGTTAGATCGGTTGTAATAGAACTTTAAGTTCTGAAAATCTCGGGTACGTTGATTACAATCATACAGGACGTGAAAGTAGTGTACGTAGGATTTCGTTTAATATCCTATGGAAGATTAACTAAATCAGTGCTTAATTCAATAACTGCTTAGATTACTGAGTACACTCAGCTACTCTGTAAGTCTGCTCTGCCTCAAGAAACGACTTCTGTTCCTTAACGATCACTGATAATCAAAAACTGGATTAATGCATGATAACATTTTAGAGTTTTGATTGGCTTAGCTAAGCACCCACCCTATCTACTTTACCGTGCAATCCTGGAATCCTCTGACTACTGCAGAATCATACGGTTATTTCATTTATTCCTTTTTTACAAATTATCACTCGGCCAGACTATTTCTACTATCTATTTAGTATTTTTGGTAATCTTTTTAATGACAGATTTTCTCCAGAATTTTGATGTAATGCCAACATTCTCATGACTAAGCACCCTTGAGTGGTCAAGTGCACAAAGAGAGAATCTTG